CCTGACTTTTAATCTCTCCAAGATCGCGCATTTAGTATTGAATCATAAGATCAAACTTAATCTCAGAAATTTTCGACTGATTATTACAAATGATATACATGTCATCAACGTACAAAATCAATTGAACAATGAGAAAGCACTCCCTAAAGATGTAGAGGTTTGGATCAGAATTGCTACGATTCCATCTTGCTAGACGTAAATACTTATCTATGCATTCATACCAGGCCCTAGGAGCCTGCCTAAGCCCGTAAAGAGCTTTATTTAGCTTACACACAAAGTTTTTAAAGCCAAATTTTGCAAATCTAGGGAGTTGGTGTACATATACGTCCTCAATAATAATGTCATTTAAAAAGGCAATTTTTATATCGAGATGGGTGATAGGCCATCTAGAAGAGCCAACTATGGTTGAAATGGTCATAATTGTCAACCATTTTACTACAGGTGCAAAGGTGTCAAAATAGTCCATACCTTTTTTTTTCTGAAAGTCCCTTACCACTAGGCGGGACTTGAGTCGTCGTTAAGAATTTCCTTGTGATTCTTTCACCCAAAAAACCCATTTGCAAGTGATGGCCTGGACGCCAGTGGTAGCGGGACCGAAGTCCAAGTGTCATTTTTGTCGATAGAATTCAACTCTTCAATCATTGATGCATATCATTCGGAAATATTGATTGCTCAATCGAATGTAAGCTTGATGCTCTAATAATCAATAATTTCTGCATCGTGACACTCTAGTGTGTTATTAAACACTTTGGTATAGTAACTGATATAATCCTTCCAATAGTAGGGGGGTCTCCGAGAGCGTGGAGTGATGAGTCGGTAAGATGGGAGATCTTCCTCGGTAAAGTTTTGTTGAGGCAAGGGCAGTGAGGTTGGATTAGGTTTGGAGTGGGTTGGATCTGCGAATGCAGTTGGCTGTGGATGTTTAGAGAACCACGGAGACTCAACTGAAAAAGGTTCGACAGGTGGAGCAAGTGGTATAGCCGAGTACACAAAAGATGAGGGCAACTCGGATGAAGGGTCAGTGTACTGGCTGGTAGAGGTGGGTCTAGAATTCTGCGAGACGTCGGACTCGAATGGTGTAGATGCAAGAATGGATTGGATAGAAGTCGTTTTGGGATGCAGCAAAATATCCCAATCGGCAACTAAATCTCGGTCATGACGAGCCATGAGTCAAAATATAGATTCATTAAACTTGACATTTTGGCTAATATTAACCTTCTCATTGATAGTATCATAACGCGATAGAGTATCATAGCCTATGAAGGTACCCGAGAACGCTTTTGCAGAAAGCTTGTCATGGCGAGTTGTCAATAGGATCGAGTCAGCACATACAAAAACTCACAAATGTTTGAGATTGGGAATCAAACCACTTAACTTTTGAAAAGGAGTGAACATCTGGACGGCTTTAGTAGAAAGCCGATTCAGTATGTATACTGCTAATCTAGATGCCTTCTTTCATAGAGGCTTAAGCAACTGAGCATATAATAACAAACTACGAATCATTTCAAGTACAGTTTTATTTTTCCTCTCAGAAATGTCATTTTGGTGTGGGATATAAGCACATGTGAGATCGTGTTTAATGCTTGATTGGACACAGAAGTCATGGTATGCATTTGAGATATATACTTCTCCCCGATATGTTTGTAGAGCAACAATAGTTCTACTTTAATTATTCTCCACCAAGATCTTGAATTCTTGAAATTGATGTAGAGCCTCGTACTTTGTTCTCAGAAAGTAGATCCAGCTGTATCTGATGAAATCATCGATGAACATCAAGATATAACGTTTTTTGGTTAGTGAGTCACAAGGAAGAGGTCCACAGAGGTCAGAATGAAGTAGTTGTAATGATCGCGTGGTCTGTGTGTGAGAGTGCTTGGGCACTCTTCCCTACTTTGTTTGGCCATGAGACAAGTGCTACAAAGAGACTTGATGTGATGAATTTGAGGAATGCATGCGGCCAGCTTCTTGGCAGCCATCAGATGAATTTTCTGATAGTTTGCATGCCCCAAGCGTCGATGCCAAAGCTGTGCTTGTGTGACAGAGTATGTCTGCAAATCAGGTTGAGGGTCTTCAATACATCACTACACCTGATTAGATGAGTAGGAGACGATGTTGTGAGGGAAGTCATAGACAAACCGTTTGGCTTGGAAAGCTTATAGATACTATTGAGTGGATCTTGTTCTCCTGTTGAGTACCTTACGTTGATTTTGTTTTTCCGAATACATAGCAATTTGTAGGGTTGAACAATGCTATATGATCCAAATCAGTGAGGCGACCTACAGAAAGTAGATTTTGTTTAACACAAGAAACATAGAAAACATCAGAAATCTTCTTATCATTTAAGGCTAGAGAGACTTTCCCATAGACAAAAAGAACTTGGTTACCAGCGGTCCTTATTGAAAGATGTTCAGTTTATTTCTCAATATCATAAAGCAAAGAATTATGTCCGATTAAATGTGACAAAGCTCAATTGTCAAAAAAAAGAGAGAAATGCATATAAAATAACAAGGGTTTAGCGTCATCGTTCCCTAGAAGAACTAGATGAGAGTCGAAAGACATGTTGTTAGCATCTTCAAAGCCAATTTTACAATGTTCATCCTAACCATCGAGGTAAAATTCAACATTGTTGGCATCCGATTGCTTAGAATTCTTCAATGTGTTGTAAGAAATCTAAAGGGCATCAAGCTGCTTTTGAAGATGATATTCACCACACTCATATGACCAATGGTCATTGTCCCCATAGTTGTTGCAATTACCTGGCTATAGACTGAAAGAAGCGGAGTGAGAGATCCTATTATCATGATTGTCGTCACGCCTTTCTTGTCCATAAAAACGCTGTGGCAATTTACGAAAACGGTAAGAGTATTGCTTCACAGGAGATTGACCTCGATAATTATCATAGCAATCATGCCTATGATCCTGATCACTGTAATTTTGATTGCTATGATGACGACAAAAGGAGACTGAACGACCTCGATCCTCTCGATTTCCTTTGTCTTGTTGTTCACAATCATACTCTCTGTCTCGGCCATGGTTGTCACTACATCCATTATCGCGGTATGATCGCCGTTGAGTAGAAACAATCAATGATTGGGTAGAGACACTAGTTCGGTTTGACCTCACTTCATGAGTCATTCAGCAATGTGGAAAGTTGAGTGAACGTGAGGGTGAGATGTTGAAGAATAGCTTTGATCGAAGAAGCAAAAGTATCCCAACTGGGTGGTAAACTCATTAGTATCAACGGAATAAGCTCTTTGTCTGCCACTGTATCATTACAGTTGGAAAGTTCGTTAGTCATATTCTTGATTGCACGTATATGAGACTCTATAGACTGACCCTCCCTCATCGACAAAGTAAAAAGCTTCCTGTGAAGGAGTTGACGGCGATCCTTGCTGGCAGAGGCAAACAATGTCTCAAGTTCGACTCACATGAGAATGAGTAAAGGCAGAAATGTGGTGGATTATGTGCTCTCTAACATTCATCATTATGTAATAGATAGCATCAACTCGTTGTTCCACGAGAGTATCAATAACCTCATGAGTTTCTTCATTCTTTGCTTCGCGTTTGGTCTTGGCGGCGACAGCATTTGCACGCGGCTGAGCAGTCGATCCCTCCGGTATGTAGATGGGAGGTAACAGTTTAGGTAGAAACGTCAAGCTGCCGACCACTCCCCAACATTTCTTCTTGAGCAAGATGGCTCGCATTCGCGCAGCCCAAGAAGTGTAATGGCTGACTCCATCGAACATCTTTGTGGGTTGGATCTCCTGCGCTTCCTTGAAGAGATTCATGGCCGCTAACGGAAGAAAAATTGAAAGGCGAATTGATATATACAAGGCGGGAGGCCTACGTCAAGGCATTCGCTCATTGACGTTGTGAGGAAAGAAACATTATGCTACGTATACCAAGTTGGAAATACAATGATCGATATCAGGTTAGTTGGAATATTAGTGAAGAGAACGAGTACATATAGTGCAGTGTAACTTGTCTTCTAGTGTTGACTTATCTCTAATCACCGCAAGGTCTATACATCTGAGTACATGGTTTGCTCAGGTCCTCACCTTTACAATAAGGTGACAGCTAACATAAGACGACATACTAAACTAACTGTAGGCACTCGAAGAGTACATAATTCTAACATGTTCAACATCAATCTTAGCTCATTTTGATAAACAGAAATAAATTTCATTCCTAGCTGTTCTTTATCTGGACCAAATGGCTGTTTCCTGGTCCGCAGAAATTGCATCAACGTCAATCTAGATAAATTGCTGTGTGTTTTTGTACATCGTTGCCAGCTGCGGATCCAAGAAGTCTCTGTATGCGGATCTTGACATCGCCCCGGACCGCAAAGACTGCAAGAGTGGAGCGAACTGCGATTGCGCCGACTCCTCAGGTCACATATAAATGCAATCGTGGAAACGTAGCATGAATCATCGAGGGGATGGGTCTACACAATACCCCTTGTGTTTCAAGCTACTCTTTCGATGATGGGAGTATCTAAACTTGCCACACATCTTCTACGGATGAATAAACTTCCAAGTGATCTTAGTGGGGCCCATTTAATCGAATGTTGTAGATGCCAGCTCTTATTTGACTGGTCAAGGAATATAATGTGAACCATAAAGATGAGGTGCAAAACTTTCCAGCGTCCACAGCTTGACAGCATAAAGTGGACGGGCCTGGCCTGCCAATAAGCAAATTGTTCATAAGCTACGAAGTGCCCACTGGAATTAGAAGTAATTTTTCTTGTGTTGTTGTGCTTCTAGAGAAAGCGTTTCGAATCATGCTTTGGTTGGAATGTATGTTCCGTCTGGATCTAGATTGAAAGACAACTTTGATTGTTTGAATACAAACATTGTCAAGTGGAAGAAGCACCAAAAAAGTTGTCCACTAGTTGTATCTACAAAGTTTACATGTGTTTGAAAGATTGATTAACTGGAAGGAAACAGCAAATGTTCGGGAAATATGTGACCTGCTGTTCCATCTGTAATATCAAATCACACTCGAAAATCACTTGCTTTGTCTATGTGGGTTTAGCAAGTTTAGAACTTGAAACATATTGAGTTTTAAAGGTGATTAACATCTCTAATTGAAACATAAGAACATTAGCCTTTCGGTAGCGTGTAATTGCTGGGATTATTTTACGCGAGTCTGATCGAACGTCCACAACGCATTTACGTTTGGAATTTCTTGAGGTTTAATTGGTACTCATAAGAGTCAACAATCTGTTTCTTCAAAGTGATATTCCTTCGTTCCGAAGGAATATCACTCTTCTTCAGTCAATGGGCTTCACGTGCATTCCACGCTAAACAGCATTTCAAAATTTTAGCCCCTGATATGGTAAAATTAGAGTGTATCCTCTCTGATGAGCACCGTGTCAAAAGCTGAAGTTTATGTTGCCTTCTTCAGTAGTTTCTTAGGGAGCCTTTGTTTAAAGTTTCGCTTCTTAGCTTTTGATTTACAGATCTTCGTTTAACCTCAACTGCCACAACTTATTCATTGCTGATATTGCAGGGGCATTTTGATACTTCCTGCAGTTGTAGCATGGGATCAAAGAAAATCCTTCCAAGCAGAAATGGCTGGCTGGTTATATAGCAGCTATGGCGTCTCAAAATCTGCAATTCTACGCAAAGGGCGTTTGGTTGCGGGTGCTCAGATTCTGTCCAGGTTCAACGCTGAAAGCTGTGCAAAATTTCTGGTATCTTCTCAAACGTGAATCAGCCTCTACTGAAGATTGTCCACATTCCTGTCCACCATTGATGATGTTGGTTGTCAATCCAAAACCAGGAAGTCGCTGCGCAGCAATATCATCTTCTGTTGGCTCCCACAATCCCAGCATGACTTCGTGACAAGATGGCTTGTTCCACTGCTCAGTGCACCAGAACCACAAAGCTGACTTGAAAGCAACGATGGGATCTTCTGCCACTCTCTCGGGATACTTGAGTAGATTTTCTCCGATTGCCACACCACATTGCCCATAGTTGTAATTCCTGATGAAACATGACAGTTGGAGCATTACACTGTCTGAGTCTCAGGTCATTCATCTAGCTTCACATACGGCAGTGCAAGACATCCAATGGTTGAATATGTTACCGGATTGGTAACGGGAATGATAAGAACCTCTTAACACACACCAACGAGGAAAAACATACTACAACAAATCAATAGTCCACTCCATGTCAGAGTCTGCTGTAGTGATTATTGATTCACCAATCCGCAGGAAGTTGCATGCATAACAACTGATGTTACGGTACAAGGTAAGCTTAAGTCTAAAAAAACAGGCAAGTCTGGCAAATTTTTATTGAAGTAGAGGAGCCACAGACAAATGCAGGAGATACATCCATGTGCATAAGCAGCATAACTAACAAATCTCCGTAAGATCCCAATGCTTCTGTGCAAGGCGTCTGTATAGATGCAGTAAGCAACCATGGAGGAACAGAATAGAAAACAAATTAAGGTAGATTTGTGTTTGAGGAGGATCAAGACGCACCAGCACATCTTCATTGGTCCACGAGGGTGATAACTCGCTCCCTTGACGCAGGGGTACTCGATGCTGGTCTTACAATGGGGGATTTTTGGGGTATCATTGTCGATGTTGGATAGTCCTATGGAACAACACAAGGAGCACGTGAACAAAATTTCAGCTCTGGGTGTTCTTACACTGTGAACCCAAACATCGTTACACTAATTTCAGATTTGTGTGAGACATCTTACGAATATTGTCTACAGTATAGAGTTATTGAATTTCTCGACCACTTGCGGGCAACTGATCATTTCTTGTTAGATATGCTACAAATAGAGAATCAAGTGCAAATACTGTAAGTCAATTCAAGAAGAGATAGAAATGCTGAGGCGGCTAACCGTTCGTTGCATGGTCGATGTGAGCAAGAAAGGCTGCAATTTCTCGTTTCATCCGAGCCACATCGATCGGTAGACCAAAGCGAGGCTTGGGGTACGAGTGGGCTGCATCCATAAGAGCTTCGTACTCGTAGCGTGAGTCCGGAAAATGCCTCTTGAAAAACTCTTTGGAGATTAACGTCGACAGAAATTCGCTATTCAAAGCGTTCGGGTATGACAGAATCTGATCAGCTCGTTCCAAATATCCTGGACTCGTGCATCTAGGAGTGGCAGGGACGGAGGTCTTCCCACTGTATTTTGCTTTCTGATCTTGATCACTGGCAGCATCCATAGTTTCATGGCTGCAGGCTCCGTGCTGATCTGCATGTACTGGAAACAAATTATCAGATTCACGATCAAACGTGACAGATAATGTCCTTCTGGACGAGTTTTTGCTCCTCGCTCCGCTACCCTTCATCGAAAAAAAAAGCAATAGTTCGGCCAGAAGGTCAGTAACGAATTGAGATCAATGATGAGACAGAGAAGAATTGGTTATGGCCAAAGCAACACATGGTGCTGAGGTACCTGAACACGAGATGAGGTGCAATAACACTTATACCAATATGACCAGGGCAAAGAATCCGGACTACACGCCACCTGTAAATCTGAAAGTCTCCAGCTCAAACATTGTTTAATAACTACATTTGGGAGTAGAAGAAGAAGGTTCTGAATCGCTTAATGATGAAGATACCTTCAACTTAGGATCAAATTGTCTATTTTCCCTCGCCTGCAGCTGCTAGTTCAATAGAGAACCGACTGTTGGTTCTTATTCTTCTCTAGATTACACTGTAGAGTTAGCTGGAATAGAATAATGTGTAAAGCCATTGCTCAAGATTTGTACAATAGTGGATCAGAATATGTCAACAAGTGAGTGGGAACTATGAGGCATTTATAGGGCAATAGCTGATGGGGCTACGTGATGGCAATAAATTAATTCACATTGATAAAATACTTCAGCAGATATGCACTTTCCCAAGCACACCTGCAGCTGGACCGGGTACACCTGTTTGGTGCGGTCGGTAGATCTAATAGATCACGTTTTATTTTTCCAAAATCTGCTTTCAGAATGAACTGGACAGATTCTACCGGTTCTCATCGTGTCGGAATCTTCCATCTGCATGATTCTTAAATGATACTTGTTTTAATAAAGATCATTCGATATCTCTTGGGGTAACGAACAGCTCTAGCAGATTTTTATTTCCAATTCGGTACTGCAGATTCTCGGTCCATTTTAACTAGAGAGTGGGCATGGCTGGAATGTCCTCATGTAATAAATAACTACAAGAACTAGGTTCAAAAGTTGTAGCTCATTCTTCATATAAGAGAGTATTATCGTCTATCAAACCTTCTTTCGAAGTGGAATGGTGAAATTTCTTTTGCTATTATCAAACTCATCATCTATTCTTTCTACTCTGCACATAATGATTACATCATACGGTTGTTGCTTGTGAGAATACTCAATCTGACCGCGAAATCAGCTTGATCAGAAAATACAGCCAGCAGGCAAGATACAGACAAGAAACGGGAATAGGAACAGAGTGGCAACACTATGTTTAGCTGGCTTATTGAGAGATGCCAGTAAAGAGATCTTCAAACCTACAGAGCAAAACCTTTGAAAAAACTCTCATCAAGATATTGCAAACGTTTCTGTAGGCAGAAGCAGTCGAGATTTGCAGAGTACAAAGTAAAAGAAGAATAGTAGGAATGTGCTCAAGGAGTCTTCAATGGAGTTTTCACATGAACAGACTTGGTCATCGGTGAATCATGGTGACTTCCAGAGAGTTCTTGAGATGTTTCGAGCGGTACTCGGATACTAAACTAGCACCGCTTTCATACCATTTCCACTGAACCTACGCAAGACCGAATCTGTGGTTGCAGTTATGCAAATCACCATTTGCTTGTCACCTCTTCTCTTTTCTCGTTTCCGCGTTGGTTGCTCTTTGAGAAAATTGTAAAAGGACTCCAGATTGTCTTCAGGAAAGTTCATGAACATGTTCAGTCCCTTACTACGCAGTTCACGTGAAGGCCTAACAGCTCTATTCGACTGTTTCAAGTGTGATTAGAGGAAGCTATTTCATGTGCTCTTGAACTCTCTCAGCATGTTAGTCGTAATAATTCAATCAACTATCCATATTATTATTCAGCAGTTATGACTTTAGTAAACTGTTTAAGGATATTGGGAAAGAGAAATGAGCATCAGAATTGTCTCAGATCTATCTCTGCAATTAGATATCATTTTTCTGTCTTATTATGGGGTTGAATACGAATGAAGATCGCTTAAGACATCTCAAAGTTCTAATCGAGAAGATATAATAAAAAATCTAAGTTTTTCTTTGGAAAAACTTTCTTATAAAATTTAGGCAATTTGAAAGATGTACAAGTACCATTTGTGATTTAAAATATTTTTTCTTGAATGCAAGCAAGGGCTTGAAGAACATGATGATGACTAGGCCTAACCTAGGAGTAACTTGTAATTTATAATAAAATAATTAAATAAACCATCAAATGCAATCAATATATCCAAACTTTCCATATCAAACTAGTCAATAGGAATCATAACATTTATAGTATTGCAATAAATTTCATCTAACAAAATTTTCTATTAATGGGAGTAATTATTAAGTTAGAACAAAATTGTATCTAATAGATAATTCATTAAGTTTAAAGTTGGATAGTACTCTTCTATATTATCAAAAACATGTGTCATACAGTAGCGGTTATGGCGCAGAGGCGGTGCCAATATTTTTTTTATGTCACAAACAGTGACATACAGTATCAGCGACTTTGCGAAGTTCAATCAAAATTTTCCAACTTTAGAGTTCCTAATAGCGTACTAGCAGTTAAATAAAGAGTCTCTATATGTTGTTTCTCACTCTCGTAAGAACTATTTGTACTTGATCTTCCAATATCATAACTACTTCCAAATTTTTTTGGCTTAGATTCTTATTACTTTGAGTTTTGAAGCCTCAAGTGTTATTCTGACTCTTGTGTGATTTTCCATCCAAAACTGTTTGACGAGATTCCACTCCTCCCATGTTGTATCCAAAAGTTTGAGATTTTCACTTCCCATAATCCAAGAGTACACGACACAAAAGTTTGCTACATCATTTACTTGTGAACCTACAAGCTTATCAAATTCAAGATGGATGATGCTTCCATCATCCATATGCCATACTACAATAGTTATAACAAAAAAATTTAGTCTACAACCAGACAATGTCAGCTTTGTAACAGTTCCAAGTTGTTTGCACTCCATATTCACAAAATTCTAGTCTCACAAGTCTCACAAGAATGTCAAGTAAGCTTGCGAGAGAAGCTTGATAAAGATACTACAGAACTTTAAAATTATGTAGATCAAATCAACTTTTCTTCCTTCTCCAATCACACAAATACTCAATAGAAGAAACAAAAGTTGTACTCATTGGATAACTGCTCACAAAAATTGCATTATCTTGGTTTTTGTCGCTATTAGAGAAAGAATATCTACTTCTAGCAGATTCTTCCAAAAATTCAAAAAAATTTAACAAGATGTATATGAAGTGAGATTGAACCTTAACAACAAATCTTTGACCGCTGCAACAATGATCTCACACAGCACATGTGATAAAATTTCAATAAGTTGCATGTGAACTTGATTGGAACGATAAGACTCTCATCATGATGTTTAGATGAGAACTCTATGACAATTTCAGAACCTAGTTGTTGAACTTATCCAAATCAACGTTTCTATTAGTATTCATTAGTCAAAAAATGAATTGCAATAATCGGTTGTTTGAACAACAACTAAAGGAGGATTATTTTCTGGATCATATCAAGCAAATAACATAGCTCCATCCATCAAATATCTTAAAGCACTTTGATACTAAGGTCCATGTAAATTAACATTTTGAGTATTAGAAAGTATACTGTACAAGAGAAAAAAAATTATGTAGAAAGCACTTGTGTTTTTATTGTGAAATCAAGTATCACAACTTAAATAACTACACTCTTAAACCTAAGTAATCAAAGTCGCACAAATTTTGGTACATTTCAAACACTTGTTATCCAATACATGAAGAAATTAAATAAAACTCACAATGATTAGCCACCTTAAGGATCGTGAAATTGACAAATGTTCTTACGTTATCATGATCTATACTATATTCGAATCTTCTTGCTATTTCAATTCTTGCTTAAAATAAATTTTCACCCACACAACATAAACATTAAAATCTTGTTATATTCTGAAGCTTCCGCTTGTTTCATTGATAAAACGTTTTAAATTTTCTATAGTTACTAAAACAATTATTGTGTTATAGTAGAAGTTATGTACGGTAGGTGTTCAATTTCAAGAAATGTCACTAACAAAACTAAATCTTTGGAGATTATACTAGAAATCGAAGTATTATTGTATTCAATATCATTGGTATTTTCTCTAATCTTTTTGTCTTAAATCTCTCTTGTTTATCAATCTCAATATAGATTGGAAAAAGCAAAAACTAATATATCGAACCATAGTTTTTCATATTTTGTCTAGACATACTAGAAATATTTTAAACTAGTGTTCATACCAAGTCTAAATGTCCAAACCCAAATATAGATTGATGGCTGATGCCCGAGACATTCATAGGATTGTCATCAATGAAAATATGTTTGCAATTTATGCACTTTCAACATCTCAATCTTTTCAAGAACCAATCAAGTTACTAGTTAAATATAAGGAGTATTATGACGTGATTGAGGAAAGAATGATGATACATTTCTCAATATAAAATTTATGATTGTGACATTGAACTCCAAGAAATTGTGCAAATTTTCTTTAGTCCAATCTACAGACTCTTTCAAAAATAGCTTGCTGTCTTTGTAAGATTATATTGATGAAGATTTTATGAAGATCTTTATTCAACATTCCAAATCATGTGTTGGAATGTTGAATAAAGATCCTATTTGTGTGTGGATTATTGTGAACTAAACAAGAGCACAATCAAGAATAGTTGTCCATTGGTGCTTATTTCAGTACTTTTTTTATTAACTCGTTCAAACAAAGATCCACATCAAGATTGATATTTGTGGAGTGTACAACTTTGTACGTAGCAAGGAAGATGAACTATGTATGAATACTTTGAATACAATGTCAAAATTTTTGTCTTACCAAATCCCCTGATATCTTCCAACACTTGATAAATAACGTTTCTTGAAAAATTCTAGACGGGTTTATTGTCTATTATTTCTAGACATATTAGTTTTTTCCAAGAATGAAGAAGATGACATCAACCATGTGCGACTAGTTTTAGATAAGTTGTGCACGGTTAGACTATATCTATAGTTGGAGAAGTGCGTTTTTAACCAATACCAAGTCAAATTCTTCAAATACATCACTTGTAAGGAGGATCTATCCATGGAACCAAAGAAGATTCAAACGTATATCAAATGAAAAAGTCCAGCTATCATTTAAGACTTAGAATGTTTACTTGGTTTTTGCAAATTTCAATCTAATCTTTATCCAAAACTATATCAAAACTGCTTCTTTGTTGATACGATTGACTCGCAAAGAGAAGATCGATGGGGAAGCATACCAAGCGATTGACTCACAAAAAGAAGATAGAGTGAAATGCGGAAAGAGACCAAGCATTTGAAACTCTTAAGAAGTCGTTTACAATTGCATCTATTATAAGGCATATTCACTTCCAGAAGCTGATATTTCTAGAAACATATACTTTTGACTTCGCCTTTCGAGCGGTACTTTCACAACACAACGAAGACTTACACCTCTATCCTAGCGCGTTTCACTTGCAAAAATTTACTTCTGCCCAGATCATACACAAAAAGTGGCGATTAGTAATTGTCGACTCGTTCCAACAATGGCGTCATTATTTTGAAGGAGCTCAACATCCGGTAATAGTCTACACCGATTACAAAATCCTTAAGTACTTCATGTCTTACAAGGTACTGAATTGAAGACAAACCTGTTGGAGTATATCGCCTTCGCGTTTCAACATTGTCATCAAATACCAACCGAATTCCCAACAGATTCAGTCCGACACTCTTTCTTAGACTTAAGTACCTTGCACCCAAGGAAGGAGGATGAGCGAACTACTCTTGCCTTATCAATACTACTTTCAATTGTCTCGATTGAGTGTTACTACTTCCATTTTTAGTTCCGAGAGATATTCGGAATCTTGTGTGACTTGTCAAGCTTGCTACAAATGACTATCCAAGACTTATCTCTTAATCAACAGTTTGTGACATAGTGCTTCACTACAAGACGGATTAGATCTCTCCCTCTTCAGAATTCTGTTGTTTCCTGCTTTGTAACTCAGCCCGCGCTTTTGCATCGCGTCGTTTTCTCCATGATTCTCTTTCTCGTCAAATTATATGTGCAACTCACACTGGTATTAGACAATGATGGTTTGCCCTCGTCGTATAGTAGCTATCTTCAATGCACTTATAGTGTCAAATGGTATCCCGTTCATAATCATGAGCGCCGACAGCGCATACCCGCATTAACCGGGCAACGCACTTCTTCAAGTAGACTTGTTTCTAGAATGCAAGTTCTTCGGCGCATGAACCCTGCGCCTGTTGGAAGTATCTTGTAATAACGAACATTACCTTCTGCAATTCTTATGTCCAGTTTCATTTTCCTGGTAGGCAAATGTGGTCCTTCTTTCAGTGTGATAAATGTCCCTCTCGGAATTGACAATTTCTTCGTACACCTCTTCCTAAATGTACAGTTTCGATCACCACTGCACAACTTGCTATGTTGCTTGCAAACTTCCCGTCTGTATCTCACTGCTGATGACTAGTAATGAAGTAGGCACGAGCATCAATAACAAGGAAAAAGCAATTCCCCTCTTCCATCATCAACAGCTATTCAATCATTTCGTGAGCCATCGTGATCATTTCGATGATTTCGTGATTGGTGATGGCAGGATTTCGAAATTGCAGATTTTGAGTACCCGTCTTCAGATTTGCTCCTATGCAAATCACGAATCTGCCAGTTCGTGATGTTCATGATGTAACAAGGTAACAATTTCTTTGGCAGTCGTGCTGGATCAGTTGGATTAACTCAGCTATCTATCCTCTCACATTCAAGAGATGCAACCGCTCATCAGAATAAAGAACGAAGTGTTTGTAGAACGTGTGTTCTTCATACAAGTGCCTGGACTCTGCTGCACTTGTGAGATTAAATAGAAATTGCTCCATGTAAACTCATCTCAAGATCCTAATCATACAGTTTTACAATTAACATATCTCTCGTAAACATCAAACACAATACAAACCTCCACAGGATGCCCAAAGTCACGGCCATTCAGAAGAGAGTGCCTAGGGTGCACACCTTGATCGTCATTTGTTAGTTGCAGATACTTATACAAATCAAATGGAAAAAAATTCAGAAGTCCACAAACTTGTTACACTTCCCTGAGGTGCAAGATTGCAGGGACGACTTATTACGTGAAAAACCTATCGTGTATATCTCTCCGGCGGCATGATCCTCTTCCTCGTGGTGTCTCAAGTAGGGACACTTCATGTGATTTAGGTGGCATTCTTCTGACACCAAATCAAAAAATGTGATTGTGAAACCAACAAAACAATTGTAAAGTTAACTCTCCTCTGAAAATCACTTACTTCCGTGGCTCCAAGCATCGTCGATAATGGCTTCCCTCTGAACCAAAGAGACGAGACGCTGACCACCGCCGTTGTTCCAGACACCTCGACCGGAACTGCTTCCAGAATTCCTACTATCGATCTCGGATTGTGAAGATTGACCCCATGGGTTCAGAGCAGTTGAGTCCAACAACGCTGCGGCAGAACCATCACCTAAACGAACTCTTTGAAACTTCGAAGTTTTCTTCTTCCGTTTCTCACTAGCACTTGCGGCATCAGCTGCATCCTTTCCTATTTGGACAAGCTGTGGGGTTTTGCAAGCATCACATTGCAGATCACTTGCCTTGTTGAGAAGCGTACATCTTACACAGGCCCATGTTCCATTCTCTGGTGTTGATGCTGTTGGTTTGTCAGAAGTGGCTGAGGAAGTTTGAGGCTGGGGTGGATCTTGAATAAGTGGAGGAAAAGCTTTTACCAGGACTTGTGGCTTCCGGTCACGGGCAGCGGCAAGCTCATTTAATAGGGTACCTTCTGTACCCAGCGCCGGGAACGGAGGAAGTGTGGAAGCGTAGGGAGAAAGTGTGGAAGCTGTGGATGAGCTCATGTCAATCTTGTTTTTTCCTTTCGCTCTTCTGTACCCATCACTTGAAAGCTGTTCGACAGCCTCCTCGGGGATATACTTTGAAGTATGTCCATTGGAGCTCCCACTGCTTCCTGCTGAATCTGACACGACAGATTTCATTGCTGCAAGCTTAGGAGCAGGCCTCTCCACTTCCCTTGCACTTGTCAAACTCGGGAAAGCTCCAGCCAGACCTGGAGGAAGGCTTTTGGGATCCACAACGTTGTTTGTGATAGTTGTAGTGTGTGCTTCCATCAACTCTTTTCCCTTCTGTGGATCGGGACAAAGCCTTGCAAGTTCTGGAACAATGAATGACAGCCCAAGCCTGGCAATGTGGACATAGTACTCCTTGGAGCCCATCTCTCCTTTCCTGAACCGGGCGGACACATCCTTGAAATCAGCATATTGCTGTTCGTTGCCTCTTAAACCTGTTCGAATTCTCTCTACCAGAGCCTTATTTGCAGCTCTCAGGTCCAAACTTAGCTCACTCACCTGTGCTGTTAGTGGCTTAATCATAGTAGATCTCTCTACTGGTGCCGATTCTCTAGATGGAAGTCCATTGCCAGCAACTGAGCTTGCCCCGCCAGCTGGACCACGTGTAACCGCCCATTCTCCTCTAGTATGTACTCCATTGCCACTACTTGAACTTTCCCCGCCAGTTGCCGGCCGGAGTGCAACTGACGGGGGCCCTGGCCCACCTACTGCACTCACTGAGGGAGCTTGACTAGATTCGATCCTCGTGTCGACAAAAGTTCCAAGCCCTTCACGACGGCTTGTACTGTTCTGCCCTGTATAAGTTCGGTCTACTTCGACAACAGAACGCATCTGAGTACTACTAGATGTGTGCCTGTGATCTGCAGTATTCAAAACACGTATTCCACCTCTACCTCCCCCTCCTATTCCATTCCCACCCAACAAAGCTGCCATCGATGCTGGACCTTGGTTTTTTGACTTCGCTCGTCGCCGAGAACTTTTAGAAGTCCCTGGCAATGGTGGAAACGCAGCATCACCCAAAGCCGATGGCCCTGCACCCCAAACGGCAGCAAGATAGCGTGATGGTTCGTTTTCCCCATCACCCTGTCCAGAGAAACCTGCTTCTGACTCACCGGATATTCCTCTTTCAGAACCAGCTTGAGGATTATTTGAACCAGGCCTATCACTACTAGATGCACTCATAGCAGATGATTCTCGTACGGCTTCCTCCAAGTGGGCTGATTCAACACTAGCACGTACTGCAGCATCTAGATGGTCACTTCTACCACCACCACCACCACCAGAATAAGGATGACCTCCACGACCTCTTCCACTTCGACGGTTCGAATAACCTCCATTATTATCATCTGCTGAGTCTTGTCCAGTTCGCCTATAATGAAAACTGACAGGGATCTGCAAGCAATCATGATGAACGTGAAAATGTAACATCCCTAGACCACAGCGATTCACGCTATATAAGAGAATATGGAATCTTTACAAGTACAACTCAGTCCTAAAGACCATCCATAAACGAAATTCCACAGCTTCATTGGTCGAAGACCTATTACTTTGAGAACTGTTTCCAATGACTGTCTAAACATTTAGCGCAGAATGAACTACCGTTTTGAATAATCATCAACAGAGTGGGACAACGCTGGAAAATCTGATAATAGAAACACCAAGGGGGAATACACACACAACCTACATCTCTATTATTGTTATCAAGAGTTGTCTCGATCGATACGATGTCAATCAACATAGATACAGACAAGCAAATTTCTTACATTGTTTTCGTATTTACCAAGATTTCAGTAGACGTTTGACACATACAATTAAACGTCATGGTAAGCACAATCGACGAACAGACATCTGTCCACAAACCTGAGTAGATAGATAGAAGTAATTAATTAAAAACTTTCATATAAGGAGTTGAAGCGTCCAGTCTCATTTTTTTCAGTTGAAAGCCCTCCACTCACGCGAGTACGTGCTGACATACCTGCAATGCCGCATTTCTCTGGGATCGTGACATATGTCCACCATGTGTGGTTGCATTGTGCCTCTGCAGAGACGATAAGTAGCAAATATAAGTGACAGTTAACTCAGAGGCATTGCAGGAGATATGAATATGAACACATCTGTAAACTCCGATTTTCGTTCCATATCCATGGTCATCTATTGCAGCTGTTAGACCCTCGGCACCGAGGGATCTGCCGTACAAATCGTAGATCAATGAGTCCTTAGAGTTGGGCATTTGTGGAAGTGGAAGAGATGCACACAACCACAAAGCAAGAAAAAAACCAGCATAAAGGCCTACCTTCAGCTCTGCTTCACTTGGAAAAACAACAAATTTCTTAGCGAGGCACTCCGGGTGCTCGCAAAGCACGTGCTCTTGCCGAAAATGAGCCTGAAACAAATTCAAAAATCAAAAGAAAGGAAGAACCCGTCAAAATGAAGCCAAAAGGCTAGGCAATATTCACATGCCTTGTTTACGGTTGCTACCGTAAAATAAGTACAAACCGAAAGGACACACATGGCTGATATGAAGTCAACCGTTTTGAAAAACTTTGCAATCCTGGAAACATGTGTAAGCATCCAATGCATACAAAAACCACAGTCTATGACGTTATTATTGTGCAAATCGTTCATTGTAGTATGCATCTGGCCTTGAAATTGAAACTCGATTCATGTGCTGAAGATTTTCACAGAGAGCTCGTACTCGTCTTGTACGTTAAAAGAAGAAGAAAAACCAAATGGAATGTCAACATTTAAGTTAATGGGAGCATATTTCCAAACATCACCTCTAAATCATCATAATTCCGATAGTACTCATAATGACCCGGCCTTGCTCTGCAAACCACACACAGGTACGACCGAGGAGTCACATCAATCACAGGAGTTTCTCCAAGGCATACTCCCAGATCCTTCGCATTCCCAACTCATCCTGTCTTTCTTTTCGTCAATCCACCTCATTCTCTTCAAGAAAGTCAGGCAACCAAGGTCTGGCTGTCTTGCCAAGTATATGGAGTTCAGTGATTTTCGACAATCTCCGATTTTCATCCCATGAGCCACCTAACAACTGGACGTTCAAGATGCCCTGTATAAGCATGACGCCCTTGTCACAATGTACTAGCTAACGGTCGATGACTAAGGAATTACTCCAGTGAGGGTACTATCTGTCACCTCATTCTAGTAACATTCACCGTCCTGTCCAACCTATTTCAAGGAAGGGGACACCTTCATGACAGTAACCAGCGCTGCTCCCTATGAACATCCCTTGTTTCTCAGTTCAAACTTTAAACTAAAAGACTGGATCTCTCTTGTCATGCTCGTAACCTTATAAAATGACTTCGAGACAAGGAATTTTCGATGATCCCAAGGGCAACCAATTCTAGCTCAAAGCAATTTTCTTGTCCTAACATGATAGTCTTGTTTGTCTTTTGTGACGAAAGCAAAGCCCTACTGGACATGCACAGGAATCACATAGTATATTTGAAAGATCAAGATCTCTTCCATCAAAAATGATAGTAAGAAATGAAATGCTCCAGGGATTTAGAACTCTCCAGGTTCTTTCCAGTTTCCTCTATCAGCTGCAACTAGAGTAGATCTACTGATAATATCATGTGTAAGGTACTTTCAGGTTGGGCAAAACGGTGATCTCGTTTCAGAAAATAGGTCCTCAGTGAACATACGAATGCTTGACGGATGATAACACTGCAAGATGGATGAATATATGCACAATGAGAATAGATGATTCATATTTCTATCAGCCTTACAAGGCTTCTGATTACGTCAGCTATACTTTTTGTTTAGACAAGGTCAAAGCATCAATGGAAGCTTCTAAAAAAGACGTCAGATATTATGCCGCCAATATTTTGGTCTTTAATGTCGTCAAGAATATAGCGGGGACCAGGTATGAGACTCAATCCACATTAGCCCTTCAACTAGGAGAATGAGAGAAACAGGAAGGCGGATCAGGATATGAAAAATATATTCCTCATATCATTGTGGAGACTATCCTTGCAATTCTCTGCACTCTACACAAGATATTTGTACGTGACCACAACTTCAAGGAAATGTGCAGGACTGACGCCAACTGCACGCTCTACAAACTGAGCAATCATAGCTGATTAATATAAGCACTTCGTATCATAATAAATTCGACGATTAAGATCAATATTAAGGAGGTCGATAAAGACGACAAGCAAATATACGGCCTGCTGTCCTTGATTCAAGACACATGATGACAACATACTTTTACAATATTTGGTGAAAAAGACTAGGTACATCTGACCGCAAAGAAATGGAACTGTTCATCCAGGGTCAATTTTAGATACTTTATAAAGCTGCTCTGCCGAATCCCGATACTGGATAATTAAAGTCTCGTACCTTTGACAAATGTGACATGTATAGTGCTCCTGAGACATGTGCTGATAGAGCTCATTATCTCCATAGAAGCGCTTCTTGCAAAAGGCACATTCGGGATGACCAGCAAATCCTCCCCTCTCCTCTTCAGTGCCATCAACTTCAGAATCTCCCTTGTAATTATGCCTGTCTAACTGAGATTTTGAATACAATTTTTGCTCAATCATAAACACCTGAACAGGCACGAGGAAGAAATCAGCTATGAAATGTCCACCATACCCAAGGTAAAGCATCTGAATAGCCAGCAGAAAAACAGGTAAGTACCGACATAAAATCTGTTGGCTATAAAAGCTTTCACAACCTCATTAAAAATCCCTATTTGATCCTCGCTTAACATTACGTGCAGCCAAGGTTCTTCTTGTGCAAACTATTTTTATATGAGGAATTTTTATCTTCATTCGACTGTGTCCGTCAAAGACTCAACACATTATATACTGAACATGCATTTCTTTCAACCAAGGAAGCCCTGAACTATCTTCTCCATTGGCCTACTTGACCCCCATGATCAATCAGAGATTATGTCTAGTCCGATATCAGTCCTAGAAGATAATCGTAATTACCTTTCTGCCTTCCAAGCACAACTCACACATATAGACTCTATGGGCTGTATACTGATGCCGGCGTAGTGTTTCGATATTCTTGAAAATATACCCCTTTTTCATCATGCCTTTCCCGCCCGAATCTTCAGGAGACGCATTCTCACATACACTACAAAACAGCCTACACATTGCTTTGATGGTTTTATAAGGCTCCTCATCGTCGAAGTACGCTTCCACTACGTTGTCGTACCACAAATCTCCACCCTCTGCAGTGCTACTGCCCAATCGACTCGGCAATACTTTCCAGTCCGTGACAACTCGTGTGTAGTCACCCAAAGCCTATCATTCAGAAGCAAAACGAAACTCTTAGGTACATACTGGTTATTGGAATCCACAAAGGCAACTAACAAGAACAAGAACTCAATTATATACTTTACCTTCAAATATAGTCATGAAATCGTTGTGATAAACTGTAGAATGTGCAAGTAGTACCATACGTACAAAATACGAACAATACGCCTTCTCAGTCGAACTCTAATAAGTGTCCCCTACTGAATCCAGGCGTATCAAAAGACAAATGATATAAGTGCAAGTCTTCCAGTCAAAACTCAACCCAACGCTCGAGTCCAGTAGGGAGGCACCAAATCATTGCATGTTTGATGAGTCTTCATAACTAAACGATACCCCTCTGAGCATTGCTTGATTAGGAAGACTCATAGACCTGCATTGAGGTACTAGTTTCTCTACTGAATGTCCACATAGAGAAGGAATAAAGATTCGAACCTTGGTAACATAAACCTGAGGACAATCCTGCTTGCAAATGCAACATCGTTTGTCATTGAGAACAAAACGAAGGCGCGCAATGCACGTGAAACACACTTCTCGATGACCACAAGGCCCGTAACCAACCCACTCCAAGGGCTCGGCACACACAGCACAGCAGTCTTCCATTGCTTCAACCTATTCACAGAGATATAGAACAACATACGCGTTAGACCATAAAATTGAAATCAAAATGTATAAGTTCTAAGTGAAACTGTCCATGAAGGAAAATGTGATACATTGTGGTGAAGACAGATAGGGGAAAAATAGGTGAACAAATTAATTTGGTGTATCATAAAAGACTTCAAAATCTACTCTGAAATTCTCTTTTTGATCACAATAGTGGGTGAAAATAACACAGTTGGATTGAGTCTTCTGAGCGAAAGAAAACCTGCGAATGGAAGGCATAGAAAAATGCATTCCAGAAACCCACGCTATTTCCCAATGAACCGATTAACATCCCAGTTAAAAAGTTCATCCTTGTAAATCGCAGACCTCGTTGCTTCCTCGGATCCAGAAATTTAGTCCTAATTTGGAGAAAGAAGTATTCAAAGTATCGAAACACAGGGGACCAAAATTCATCTATAGTTTGACGGCCACTCAAATGAAACTCCATAACCAGCGAAAAACAGAACTTATTCTGCCGGCAGTGTCAGGATAGGTGCCAAGGCATGTGGGAACGGATCCCCGAGTAACATCGAGCTGTAAACCGTACTTCAGACATCAATTTCTGGAACAAAGTGCGAGATTTCCTCGCATACCGTTCTCCGAGACGAAAAGACAAATCCTCTATCGGTTCGAGATAGTTGCGCGCCCTCTCCTGGCAGGTCCGGGGGGCGAGACCCGATAGGCACGTAGTGCTCGACCCGTGCAAAAACATGGTCCTACCAAACCTAATGTACCTCGGATGGCCATAGAGCCATTCATGCTCATATACGAAAAGTTTGCACGAGTTGTAAAAGAAGAGCAAAACCGTCTAGTCCAAGTCCAAGTCCAAGTCCAGAGATAAAGTCCAAGTCCAAGATATTCCATAAGCTGACAGGAGAAAACCTCATGTGGGTATAAGTGAATGATTGGCATAAAGCGCAATCAAGACCACAACATCAAGAAATTTATTAATCAAGAGAACTTTGTTCGCTTCTTATTTTAAGGCTTTTAAGTATCAAGCGAGAAACAAACTAGAATTGCTAGGACAAAATGTATACATAAGAATGTAGTTTGCACTAACCGGTTATAAGTTCCATTACCGCCTACTCTATAGAATTCTGTATCAGCATCCACGTTAGTTCAAGAATAATCCTGAAGGAAAAATCCATGCAACGAACGATAAGGGCTCTAGGACAAGTGCTGCAAAAAAAATATGTGACAACAAACGAGTTGAGTCTCGCAAATGACCCAAGTTTGTGCCAACAATATTCGCACACTATCGTTGCCCTGTCCAGCAGTTCACTGCTACACTAGAGTGAAGATCATTGAACCCGGTGTTTCCGTTTTTCCAACGTGCCAACAAAGACCCACCGGTAAGCATATGAACGTAATTTGCACTAACCCATTATAAGTTCCGTTATTGCCTACTGAGCTCATACATAAAAAACTTGTACAAGTTCAGTAGAGAGAGATTCCTATAGTGGCGTTCTCAACACATTCCAGGTCGTGACACTTGAGCTGTAATGTCCTGTTTTGCTTCATGGCCAGATGGACGGGAACAGAAAATCATCATGTATGGTTTTATCTAAAATCTTGAACCCCTCCAAGTTATTCGCAAAAGAAAACAAAATCAACAGTTTTGGCGTACATTCAAGTCAAAGGTAAACTTACTGTGGAAATTCAATAAACCCACGACTAGCATTGGTTCCCATGGCTAAACACTGAGAGAGAGAAAAAGACTTATTGAAAAAGACACTAGATATTGAACACAAGAATGTCAGTTCCTCGTCATTATTCCGTTACCCTCCCTTCTCAACATCTAAACTTCCCAGAAGGAAGGATCGCAATCAATTTTACTGCCCTCTAAATCTCACAAACGACTGAACAATTCACGTAGATGAAAGTGCAGAAAATAGCATCTGACGACTATGCAAATTCTAAATTGCAAAACAGAGACAATAGAACAAAGGGCACAAGAGTTCCGAAAGAGCCCAACAGGAATATCAACGAGCTGTACAGGTACAATATTACAAACTAATCACGACCCCACAACGAGGGCAGGATTCTCTTTGCAACTAGACAAGAAGGATCCGACTTTAAAAAGGTTATCAGCTGCGAGCAAAGGACTAACAATTTGAATTGACTGATTCGAAGGTCGGTTGACAGTTATTTTGGCTCCGCCCACAGACATGCAATGTCGAGTTCCGACTCCGCTTTAGGTTTTGCTCAAAGCTACTCGGACGGACTGTCCATGGAAATGAATCTTATACTTACGATTTTAATCGAGGAGACAGCCCCAGATAGGCGCACCAGAACCAGAGAAAAGATCGCTTGCAGGATTGTTCAGTCTTTCGAGGAGAATAACCACACCGATCTGCACTTGTCTGCAAAGAACAGCCCGTTAGCATCGCGATTGGGAGTAAGGAAACCAGCTCCAGTCCGCAAAAAGCATTCTACGCTTTTCTCATGTGGGTCAACAACCGGATTCACCTTTCTTCCTCAAGAGTCATCGCAATCTTTGTCACAGGTCCCCTTATTTCGAGATGTTCTATCCACCCATCTAGCACATTCATTTACTCCCACTGCGCCGCATGATCAACATCTGCTATCTATTGCAATCTCTGCTAACCTTCCGAAATGAACGAAATTAAGTCTTCAATGCTTTGGGCCTTTTGGCGCAAACCTTACCGTCTGTCCCGTCAGAGATACAATCCAATTTAAGATACACAATCTCCGCAGTTTCAGAACCTCTCTCCACACACCGATAGAAATCCTGCTCAAAATGTCCGGCCACAAAATCTCATTCCCAAGTACTTTGTTTGTGAGTTCCACTGACAGAGGAACACGGCAAATGTTTTTGAGCCTTAGGATTCTCTTCCAATTTAGAATTCCTCAAACCTCGGCGTTTTGAGGTTAGAGATGAGTCCTGTCCAGTCCAGTCCAGTCCAGTCGGAGATGGATGATTTCGGCCTAAGCATGAAAAAGCCACACAGTAAGTAGTCTGTGATAGTGTGACTGCTATGCCTGAGAGAACTCCAGATCCCTCTCCACTGAACACACACTACCGTCAATGTCGATCTCTGAGGCTGACTGGCGCTCCTCTGCCACTCAAAGGACTACGGCTTTCCTTCCACACTTTCTTTCCCTACTTCCAACCCCACAGACTGGACACCCCCACAGGTAGAGGTCCTGCACAGCTCTTCGATCACAACAGTCCACACCGTAAAAGCTTTCCACCTCTCGCAACCCACTCCTCTCCACTTGTACGTTCAGTCTATATGCTCTGCTAGCCGGCGATTTTATAACATCTTCCGATCCAAGCCTCCCATCACTCCCTTTCCCTTCCCTTCCCATCTTTTTTGCTGTATTACTTGGTATCCTCCCTTCCTCTCGCTTCTTTTCTTTCTGTTCAGGACATTTCACCATACGCCCTTCTAAATTCTTTTGGCCTTCGCTACTCTCATCGGCACAAATTGTTCTCGAAGATGCCTTCTGAAGAACCCTTCGACTTAATCTGTACGCCTTACCCTACCACAACCCACCCTAGTTTCATACTCCACACTCGTACCCAAGTACCGATATATCTACTGGCATTTGGTGTGAAAACTATCATTATTTAGAGTTTTCAGGTCTTGCTGTTGATTCGGACGACGAGACGTTAGTACATCTTGTACGCGACCACTCATTCATTAATTCAACTTGTTGTCTATGCTGTAAGGTCGTTGAGGGGTGAGTAAATGCAGTCAATTAAAACTCTCACTAACTTGATCTTGTTGATGTCAAATGAGCGCCCGGGTTGAATTGTGGGAAGAAAGAATTATAAAATTCTACAGAGAAACCATTAGAGATACTAGCACGTCGTCCTATATCCTATCTTCAAGACCGCAACCAGTTATTTATTACTTGGTTCCCCTTGCAGCTCGCCCCTCCAATTCAGTCCACCTCATGACTCTTGTGTGCCCTCGATCCATCCATCGGTTCATGAAAGTAAGAGCCCACGGTGCAACAAAGATACTGTAGCTAGAATGTCATCATTCTTGTTGTTGCTGCTTATTTATTCATTTCGCGCAGAGTGGTTCTTCGTTTCATCCATGGAAGTCACGAAGCATCAAATTTGGAGTAGTAGAGTTTCCCCTATAGGTGTCCACCAATGGTCCATGTTGAAAGCAAGAGACAAGAGGCGCATACCCCCAAAAATTAAACCTTCCACGCACAAAAAGATGATGCTTATTGCATAAGAAACGATGCTTACGGCATCGCTGCTTATGCAATAATCATGTCATTTGTGGCGCCATGACTCGGAGCATAGACCCAGTCATCACTAGATGCTTGTTTTAGACGTATTCCATCAGCCTCTCTCCTTTATGTTTTGTTCCCTTGGCTTGATGTTTTAATTCAAGTATACCCACAGTACATTGATTAAAATACAATCTATCCTGCATGAAATTTCTCAGTCAGAATCAACTTTCCTACGCATGTCATGTCTTTCGAAGCGTAGACTCACTTTTAAATGCTTCAAATTCAAAGAAGGAATGATAAGTCCGGAAATGCAAAACTGTCACCTCCTGCTTTTTCGGACCAACGTCATTGCTTACCATTTATACATCTCTTTCATGACTTTACAACCACATTGTCGCCAGGATTTGTTATTTTAATCTGCCCTTCATCACCAATGTTCTGTAGGGAACATATCTCAACGAGCTTTCGCAGATCACGCATGTGTTTGTATCATTCGAAACTACAATATCCTAGTTTGTGTAAATCAAGAAGACAGTAAAAATCGGTGACATGTCTGCTTACTAATTAGAAAACCTTTTTCCTGCCGAGTTGCATAACCGCTCATTCCCAGTTTGGTTCCAATCAACCCTAATAATTAGCTTCGGAGTCAAGTCAAGTTTAATCTCCTTCTCGATTGTGCTTTCGACATGTAAATACATGTAAGGATGTCGTGCGAAAACCGGCACTTCTTGGAAATGGCATTGTGAAGATGGGAAGCAACAAATGGGAAAACCTTCATAAAACACTTCCGTATGGAGACAAAAAGGTCCACTTCGTATGGGGCACTTTCCACTGAGAAATGGTCGACTCCTGATAGAGTATTCAGCATTAAAACTACACATCAATACTTTCAGCCTCTACTCGATTCGTCAATGTCACGAGTAATGAAGCTGCATAATTAAGACATACGGTAAGAATCTTAAATTTTCTGCTAATCATGATTTGCAGCGGCCTTACATATAGGCATAAATGTGGCAACAATTCCGCAAAATTATAGCCTTCAATCTTGCCTTTCCCCATTGTTCGAAAAAACTGCGACCATCACTACGGTTTGCCACTCTTTTCAAGTATGGCTGATGGCTTTACAGGTACAGCCATAAACCTTAGTACTTATTGACTTCACTCGACATGCGCACTCATAAATGAAAAGAACGAAACTCATTCCTATCCATTGTTACAATTGCATACAACAAAAGTATGTTTACAAATTTGGTCTATGGAAACCTAGAAGTGTTGCCTTTCACTTCCACAGGGAGAAAGAAAGAAAGACTATACAGAACACAAGAGCACGATATGCAGCAAGCATGGTGTTGCTTCCTTGTTGCGTGACCACATGGAAGGAAGAAGCCCTGTAGACGAATGAGATGAGCAGAATCATGCCAGAGCCGACAGCAATTGGTGTTCCGTCTCGTAAGATTTGCATTTATGCCTTGATGGAAAGTGTTGTTCAAGTGTTATATTTAGTCTACATTCGATGTTTATTGTAAACAAACTCCCCATCCGAGAGAGAAATTATCAATGGAGAAGTCGGCCGTGTTCATGGCTTCTAGCTCCGAGGAAGTTCTGTCACTACTGGAATACACTGATGCACCCGTCGTCCCCTCGGATCACATGGTGATCTGATCATTATGAACATGATGGTCATGATATCTTATGTGGAGTACTCGCATTCTCAAATTGGACTATGAATTGCATTTTAGACTAATCCTCAGAATTAAAACCTCATTATCTCAAGTGCTACGACCAGTCTTGTGGCCCTAAGAGGGAGGTTTCAGGGCAAACAGCTTTTACCTTGAACTCTACATGCATTTTGCGTAAGAAGTAACTTCAAGTCGGTGAAGGTTTGGCATGATTATGATTCTCATCGAGCTTCCTTCTTCGAAGTATGCGATTAATGGCTGGGGTGGATGATAAGTTATCACATGTACATGTGAAGAATGGATGTACAAGTCGTGGTCAAGTGGAGTGGACCCAAGTGTCATTACTGTTTGTGCCAAGAGGCTCAATATAAACTAGTATGATATGTAATTATTTACAAATAACGTGAACTCATTCCTTTACTGCAGCTCAGAGTAAATGAATCTCAATATATCCAGTGCCATCGCATACTTTTCATTGTGTTGTTATTGGAACTAGATACAATTATCATTTAGAATAGTGAATGAAAACTCATTTATTACTCTAACTGTAACCTACTTCCTACCAAATACCAGGTGGCTTGCTAGCAGCAAGATATAAACTCCGGGTTCATCCCACAGAATTACAACAATCCCAGAATGTATGATGTCTTCAACTTTGTTCCAAACCTAATTCCAAGTGAGGGGAAACAGGAAATCATCGTTTCCAGCACAATTTAGAACCGAAACCCTCAAAGAAGTCTTGGGTGAATCTCAATATGACCCAGGCGTAACATTCAAAATTTCTGTTTTGCTCGATTTTAGCCGTCCTACACACGGCACTTGTCAAGTGAACAATAATGTAGTGGCCAGGGACACAAGTTACCACAGTTACTGGTCGACTCTGCCGAAAATATAAGTGGGGCCGTGACACTGACATCATCAATTATAGTGTTGTCGTGACACCAATGAGAAAAGACATCTTTGCCTTCGAGGCGAAGTGCGTTGCGGTCTTGGGCTGTAGGTTGCACACAGACCACAGGTGTGCAGAATCTTGACTTGAAGGGTGGACTTTCAAGACCCAAGGGACCTTGACCGATTAAACGCTAGTGCTCAAAAGTTGCTAACTGACACTGGACTGCAGAGTATCGCCAGTGAACAATATTTTGAACATTCAGTATTTTATGTGTGACTTGGGAGAACCTTTACATCACACGAGATTCAAGAGACTTTTTACAGTCATACCCCACATTAGCGGTGGCATCCGCTCATGCTCTCCGTCCTCATGGATCTACATCATCAGTCTGATACAGCCTGCATGGTGCGTTAAGTGCTAAGGGCTTCCAGGCGTCCATGTTGACCGAACATGAATATTTGGAAAAACTGTAACTCCAGAACCAGAGAAAGCTGAACCCATGACATGTACTATGACCCATCAAAAGCCAAAAACTCGAGTTGGCAAAGAGCGACGCTTTCCCACGTGTTCGTTGTCCACAGCATGGTGTAATATTTCAGAACTAATAAGCGGGGATTCCCGCCACCTCCTGCCAGTGATAAACTACTTCGAGAGCTGACTGATGTAGAGGTTGTATTTCTAGCTTCTGAATGGATTAGGTTTACAGTCACAGCATGTCTTTTCAAAATCAAAAAGCATGCGGGCACTCTGGTCCTTCAGGTCTAAAGAAAAAAGCTCCAAGGTTGTTTAAAATAGTGAGACGTAAAATAAGATTCCAAGACATTCTTAGCACACTTGCACCAATTTTGAGGAGAACCATGGTTAAGGGCAGACTCAGTCAGCAGAGTACAGCCGAAGCCAAAAGAAAACCATCAATGGCGAACTATATATAGGGCAAGGCACATCAACTGGACAAACCCGAATTGTGGTACACTCTACTAGACATCATTCTTTTGCCAATGACAAAAAGGCCCAAAGCTTCCAAAGCACCTTAGATTTCATCGAGGAGAGGGAAACAGTTGTGGGAGGAAATTATCCGCTTTACTTTTGCACCCATTCAAAGTAGAGGAGTGACGAGGTTCGCGGACTTGATCTTTCGAAGATATATTGTCCTCACAAGACTCAGGCAATGCCTGATCGCTTGATGTATGTTGGTTATGAGAAGACTGCAGAGGTGGATTGAGTCACAACTCCAATCAAATGATGCAGTACGCCCTTAATACCCTGTATTGGAAACACCAGTAACGCGGATGTGATGTTATCGACAGCGCATCGTATTCTTCGATTACGCCCTCAATACATTGATTTCATCATTACGTGGAATAATCTTGCCGGACACTGCAAGTCGCTGTTATGAAAAAGAAACTCGTCCCAGCTGAAATTCAATGCCTGCTTTGCAAACATTAAAAATATTAAAACTTTTTCTTATGTCCATGACAGAAATTAAAATTGCTATCATATCATTGTAAAAGAGACAACTGTACTTAAAAAAAAAGAGTCTAAAAAGTAGTTCGCCACTATACCCACAACGCAAGTAACACCAAATATTTTAAGTGGACTTTTAGAATATGAGTCACCTCAGTCAAGCCATCCGCTAAAGTACACAAACCAGCCTCAGAGATTCTTCTGGTAAGTTAAAACAGACAACACTAAGTACTCTTCAACAAAACCTTCAAATTCCTCCACTCACAGCAGTAAGGTAACGAACACATTCTCACGCATTAAACATGACATCATAAAAAACACGTCTGCTTGTCCTGTATTCAACTTCACTTCAAGCCAACCTATTCGTGTGGACCGAGGGGCACAACAGATCCACTTTGCGACTAAGAAGGTCCATTGATGGGGTTCTCAAGTACAAGTGACAAAATAAACACGCGGTAATGACATGAATCATAGAACAAATTTGCTTCTGAAAATCAAGTGCTACATGATTTAGTCTCAAAACACCCATAGTCAGCGAGCAGAGGGCATGCCCAAGTACAAGAGAATTTTCTTGCATAAAAAATACTGCAACCTACTCAAGGCGTTAAGGAGAGCTCTTCCAACGACGACGAGCCTGAGTGAACAATATAATCCAGGGATGCTAGGCTGCTCCAATAACGTTCAGGAAAGGGCAGGATCATGAGTATGTACAGCGACTAACTATCTGTAATATTACCTCAATATATGCAGAGCCACACCCAAGGATAGTGTAGAATGTGTTTTTCAAGTAAAATCCAGTGCTTCTCGCGGGAGCAAGGCCGAAGTATAGTTCCTATTACACTCCGCCTCCTCCAACTCTGCTAAGCAATTTCGTTGTTGCCTTCCGAACATCAAACCTGTCGGAAGACTTCCCAATTTAGAGCGAACAATACAGCATTCGACCGCAACCAATTCGTCACCGTTCCATTGGCGCTGGTGGTAAGCGTTCACGTGACTACGTGCCACTGACCTCCCTATTTCTTCGCTTTGGAAAAGCGGAGACATCTGTACTTCTCGCCACTAACAGTAATTTCCAAAGCACCATCTTGTTGATCTTGATTTGATGCCGTTCCCATCAAAACGCTCTTTTCCTTCTCTAAATTCTCCCTCTCCATCTTCAAACGAGCTTCCTGCTTCAGAATTTCGGCCTGCGCAATAGAAAGACACAATTAAGGGTACAATAAGTTATATTAAAGCCAGAAATATCCAAAGGTAAACTGAATTGCTTCCATCTGTAGGACGTCAATCTGTTTCAATGATTCTTCCAAACCAAGAAGACAGTCAGTAAACACAAGTTCTATATCTCTGAAAAAATCCCTCCTGGATTTTGATTGCGTGAGCGGAATACTTTCAGTTTAACATACTTGCCCCTTTCCTTCAAATGTGGTTTACGGTTTCAAACTTATTCTGAATTGGCCCAAAAACACCAAAAACAAATACAAAACTACCTCAGGGAACGCAAAATGTAGGCCCATGTAATTGATCATGCACGTACATTCGTAGGACGTATTGACTTTGGATGCAGCGACAAGCCCAAAGAAAAAAAAAATGGAAACGAAACTATGATTACTTGATGGTTCTGCTTCAAAAACTAGTTCGCCTCCAGAGCCTCTTCAACAATTTTCTCTCTAAGAGAACACCAAAGAAAAATTGCATTCGACTCCAAAGACGATTACACCTGCTCGAACAAACTAAAACCCTTCAGTGTTCGAGGTTTCGCAGGATCTAGTACCCGGTACACAGCAAACTCTCTTTCTCTAAACCTACTGATTTTAACTCCTCGTGCGCACTCTCGTTTGAAACAACTACATTCACACACCCCTGCTGCTCGATTACCGAGCTCGACTCACAACTCTAACTCATATCCTACTGTTATATAGGGTAACCAAATCTTAGATCTCTCACGCCCTTCCTCCACAAGGAAATTTCAGTTTCGAAGAAAAAATCCATAAACTTTCTAGTCCTGTGGATCATCCACAAACATCATTGTACGAATAAACCAACCGAGGCCATTCCACCAACCACACTCTACTGGCGCGCGACACAAGAAGAATGAGAAGAAACCCACCTCTCTTCGGCCGAGCTCGGCCTTCCATGCGGCCTCTCTCTCTGCTACTTCTCTCTCCCTTTCCTCCAAATAGCTCTTCATTTCTCGTTCCTTCATAATTCGGTCCTGCATGTCGGCCTCTAGAGCTGCCTTCAAATCCCTCACAAAATTCTCTACGACTAATTTGATACGCAACGACATCGTGTCCCTGTTCCTGCTTCTGAAACTGCACTACTGATCCAAGCACCCCTTGAAACTTATCACCGCCCATGGCCCGCCCGCTGACAATTGTTCGTCTTCTTCCCACCACAATCATGTCTTTCTCTGCCTCCAAAAATCGCCATTTCAAATTCGTGCAATCTCACCTCTCGAACACTCACAGAGCCCGTCGGTGATCCATCATCCGGCCAATGAATTGTCGCTGCCGAGCATCCAACTTCTCGCCGTACTCAAAATTGACAGATGGTTTTCAAATTCCTGCACAGGCAGCGATGAATATTCTCCCAAACCTCTGCATCGAACCTACCATCCACAGAAAACGAGCGAGCGAGCGATCGGGACAAGTTTGATGACTTCACACTCATCATTAAAAATCCATTCCCCCAAATTTCTCAAATTCCGTCCCCCGATACAAAGCCTCCAGCAGCTCTGCCTATTTACAATCTAATCAATCAATTAGAGGCGCGCAGAGCACCCGCGCTCTCCTCCCAGAGCCGATCCTTCGACCTCCACCACACAGCTTTATATCTCCCTCCAGGTGTTCACCTAGCGAGCCCCCTCCCGATACAAGACCTCTGGCTCACAAGAACACCGACGTGACATCGAACGCGACAAGCTTCCCTGGACAAGTTGCAGCCGGTTCCGACGGTCAGCATGGCCTTCTGCTGTCGTCTTGTGAGAGCTCCGAAGCCATGGCTGGCCCGGTTCGCTCGTTCTTATAAGAACAAGACCACTTGCAACAATGCTGGATTCGAGTTGGAAATCGCTAACCAGCCGTTGGTCAGTTCCACACACTGCTCGAGAGAAGTGGACCACGTTACAGTACCTACTCGAAATGCTCGACGCAATCAGCTTTGCGATTGACCTGCCGGTCAGCCAATGAGCTGCTCGAGGAACCACCGGCGTGGAGATCGTAGAGGAGGAAGTTCGCGGATGCCCAGTAGGTGACAGCTACCGGGGAACCCACTGACGAGCAGGCGCAACAAGCGATTCATGAATACGTCCACCGGGTGCTGATCTAACCATACTTAATCGAGGTTCACCGGAACAATGGCTCGGACGAATCAAAGCACGCGACTACATCGTTTTGGTTTGGGTTTGTGCTGGTAACGGCTACCTGGTTATTCTTAAAGGAACTCGCTCACGGTGGGACAGTATTACAGTTCGGGAACATGTTCATTTCCGGAACTAATCGCTCTACGGGGAGTTACAGCTATGACGGAGTGCCCAACGATGCTTTGATTCAGGAGCTCGCATGGGCCAAAATATACTGTGGCGAATGTTGTGCTAGGCGTAGCATGTTGCATGAATGTGTGGCTTACGTAGTTCAGAAAGACGGCCTACCCTATAAGAGTACGTCCTGGCATCGCAGCTTTATAACCACGAATAGAGGACACAGTAAAATAGCCAAAAGAAAGGGACGTATGATAAACCACGAATGAGCGAGTGTCTTTTAAGCCAGCCACACCAAATTTGACAGCAGTCCAAAATTGGTGGCTTGTAAGTCACATTGCGTAGCTCGTTTGGCGGGCTGTCAGTTCTACTGATCCGATCCGATTTGTCACAGGTGGACTTTAGCCATTCTTCGTAAGGAAGTCGTAGTCAAAGTTACTCCTCCGATTGCCGTTGTCTTCATTCATGCCAGCAGCAACTACAAATGACTACGCGAAATCTGGCTTACTCATTAATATCTCACAAGAAACTTTTTATGAGGGGTTCACAGTAGATCTCAGTAAAGCTATATGAACCTGAGATCTCTCCTGGAATCATACTCGCAAACCTTCAGCCCCTGGTTTAGCTCTCACAACCTTGAAGCTTCATTCATGCTCTCAGTTACACTTATTCGATGCTGTATCAGACGGAACAAAATAGTTCGATAAAAAAGTGTGAAAACTCCATCACGGATGAAACCAAATAAGTAACATGCGCTAGTACCAACAAAATAGAAATAAGCCTACCTCCTATTTCAACTAAGATATCCAATAAATTCCAGTTGGACTATTTACATACAATACTGATGTTATTAAAATTATCAACAAAATAATTGATTTTCCATTGATATCAACAATTTTAATACTGTTACAATAAAATAACTCAATTGTTAAACGTTACATAATAAAGTGTAAAGAGTGAATGCTATGCTCTAACTTATTCTCCCACCAAAGTTATAGGTAAATGACTCAATAGCTGGAGAGTCAAATACTTCATCTATGAACATATTGTCTGTCAACATATGTAGAATAATGCCAACAAGTTTAAAAATGATTTATGAAATTATTTTTTCTGATAATTGTGTTTTATATATCAACCTGCATTATTCACTCGCACATTTGATCCAATCATCTGCCATAATTGTTAAAAAAATTATTCAAATGAAAATTTTGAAATCAATCTGCAATAAATGTATTTCAAATCTTAATTCAGCATATATTTTACTTAGTATCAATATAATTAAGTTAATGTGAAAATTGTAGCATCACTAGCAAACATCACAATACTTCACATGGATCTTTTGAAAACATGAAGATCTATCATATGCTTTTTATAAAACAATATATGTGAACATCACAATTGCATTTCAAAAAAAATCACAATAAAACATATATGAATTGATAAATCTAGACAAATATATGAAGTCAAGATAAGGTGTAGTTATTGTTCATCAAATTATTGATGTAGATAAAAAAAATTTAATATCACTAATGTTGTTGTTGATGGAACTAAAATTCATGTATTCGAATTTTGTAGATCTCGCATAACATTATCATTCTATACAGATGCAAAAGCTCTTCATAAAAAAATATTGTCAATTTGTTTCAAATTACAGTTTGTATAATGGTTCATATTTGCTATTTCAAATTGTTTAAAGTCTTGCATACCAAATTATGGTTTAGAGTTATTGAATTATCTATTGAATTTATTTCACATACATTGTATTTAAATCTTATAATTACTTAAAATATATGATTTTCATTGTAAATACATCAATGAATTTTTTTAAGTAATATAGACATTTTCTTATAGAATTATTAATGCATTTTGACTAAAATATATATATATATATAAATTTGTCAAATTTGAAATTTGAAATTTAAAAAAATTGAAAATAATTTTATATATTTAAAATATACAATATATCTACAAATATTAATATTAATAGTTTAAATTAATAATTTTATTTATATATAATTACGTTTAATTACATATTTCTAAAAAAACTCAAATTTAATCATGCATTATAATCCAAAAAACAATTGGATTTAGAAATATATCATTTGTATGATAAATGAAAATCTTGAAACAATTATAAAATACAATTTTATATTCATTGAATATGTATTTGTATAGATTCTTCTTCATCTATCTATAATTCATAGAGTAAAATTTATCATCAATTACATCATGATTGAATTCTTTTGCAACAACATTGATGAGTACAAATTTGTCAATACATAGAGCTGAAAAATTAAAATTTCATCATAGAAAAATACATATTGACAAAAAAATTCCAAACTTGCAAAAACATCAATCCTATATATTAATGCAAAACTGTGAATATCAAATGACAGTAAATAAGCAAAGCAAAGATGTAGTGTGGTTCATCACAAAACGCTACCTCCACAAGGAAGTCTCGCAAGTGATAGTATAATGAATGTACTATGCAAAACACAAATCCATGAGTATAAATACTCCAGCACCGATGATATCATACATATTTTTAGCTAAGAAATAAGGTTACTATTTAACTTTAACTAACTTAACAATCTTTACTCTAATTTGTGTTAAGTAAACGGTAACTTCTATAAACTATATTATTACTTCGCATGAAACTCTAGACAGAATCTAACGCAATGTACATCTTTAGACGAGAGTTAACTAAAACTAAGCCGTGGCCATAACAGTATAGAGCAATAACATAAAAAGTTTACTTAAAAACTTGCTAGCATAGACGAAACACGAAAGTCAATTACAACTAAACCATGGCCATAACAGTATAGAGTAATAACATAAAAAGTTACTAAAAAACTTGCTAGCATAGAGGAAACACGAGACTCAACTAGAACCAAGCTGTAGTCATAACACTATAAAGTAATAATATAAAAATTTTACTAAAAAACCTGATAGCATAGAGGAAACACGAGAGTTAACTAGAACTAAGCTGTAGCCATAACATTGTAGACTAATAACATAAATGTTTTACTAAAAAATATACTAGCATAGAAGAAACATAAATCTTGTAACCTATATAAATACTCCGCAAGAAGTTATAGAACAAAATCTGATACACGGTCCCTCTTTTTACGAGAGTTAACTATAACTAAAATTAAATCATATTCATCACATGATAAAATAATTATATAAAATGATATCAATATGAAAGTACTATGCTAGCAAATTTTACATGTGTTTCTATGCACAATCTGCATAATAGCACAATGTCGCTGAAAAGTCTTTGAAAAAATAGCTTTGACCAACACATCATCTTGATTGAATGTATTGTCAATGTTGACTAGTTCAATCACCAGAGTTTAACTTCAATGTTGATTAGCTCAATCACTAGAGTTTACCGTCCATTTTGACTAGCTTAACCACCAAAGTTTATCTTCAATTTTGACTAGCTCAATTATATGCTCCGAAATATCACAAGTACCTATGCTAATTTTTAATCATTTATCACATAATGATCAAAGTCTTCCACAACCATATTCGTGAATAAAAATTTTCTCTTGTTAGTACGGAGATCGTGAAAACTCCACTCTTTCTATAATCTTGAGTATTTAAAAGACACACTCATACTAAGTAAAACTTTACAATTTATTGTATCCTATAGCTTGTAAATCTAATTTTCTTAAAACATGTAATCTCGTCATCCATAGAATTATATGTAATATTCAAATACTCTGACCTTTTGCGTTGTCATCTTTGTCCGTAAAAAACTATATACACAAGCACCTTTCATGACGATTTGCTCATTTTGAATCATCTTTCAACTCTTAAGAAATGTCTAGATACACTGGTTGTATTGAGAGCTTTCTAGAGATACCTAATTTGCTTATATTCAGATGAAAAGTCTTTTGGCCGGATTATTTATAAATAAAATATTCTCTTAGATTGTCTATGTGGTCATTCTGCTTCTGTCATTTGTTTGAGATTCTCCATAAGATGATGAAAAAATTACTTGATGAGATCACAACATAACGCAACAGTCTTGCTATCATTCAACAAGTTCATTTTATTCAATGAGAACTTTCAAACAGCACTTCAGTTCGCCGTCATCTATTTCTCATACAAGTTACAAAAATCACAATACCTCTTTGTTGAAGAAAAGAGACTTCTTTCAAAGTTCAATTTGTCCTTGATTGTCAATGAGACACTTGGATCTGCTCAAAGCAAATATCTAGAAATTTCAAAATCTTAGCAAACTAAGTAAACAAACTCAAGATGCTCTAAATGTAATATTGATTTCACAAAAGTCAAGTGCAAAGTTGATAAAAAATGAAGATTTGATTATAAGTCTTTATGGCATGCAAATACTACAAAAATAATTCTTA